CCTTAATTTCTAATGTAACCCTCAGACATTATGGAATAAGAGAGGCCTAACTTCTCAGACAATAAAAGTGAAGCAATAAGGAAACTTACATGTAAGAAAAATAGAACATTTCAGGTGGACTTTTTAACTTAGAAAAGACCCAAACTGCACTATAAGTCAAACTCAATCTATAACTTTGAGAGAAATAGCAGCTTGGTCCTTCTCGCTGATGTTCAAATTTGGGTGGATCACTGATCAGAGTCTCGGGCTCTTCTCAAATGCCTCTCTGCTTTGCCAGAGCAGGTCTGGTATCCAGCATCCGAGCCCTTGGAAGTCATGCTCTCTCAGAACTTGCTTCAGAATAAAGTGGAGTTACATATTTCCTCCTTGGCTGATCTATCTTCAAATACTGGCGTGAGTAATACTAGAATTTTTAATTTTGCAGTCTCTCTTCAAGATATACACGTTCCTAATATTTCTGCCTGATTTTTATGCAAATGAGTTTTAATTTGTGAGTCCTGGCTATTTTACACAAAACACAAAATTTTGTTTTACACAAAAAATCCTGGTTTTACATAAAGATTAACGGAGACACAGGATTTCCTTAATAGTCGGACTATTAGGGAAAAACTCTCTCCTTTACTGAATTAAAAGACAACTTTATTATTATTATTTATTACAATTATTCTTTATATTTCTACTGCTGGGACTCTCTCAACGTGACTTCTTGGCTGTGATGTTGAACCATCTAGGTTTCTCTGCCTCTAGGTCCTGGTGGTCTGGAAATATGCTCATTTGGCTCTATCTTGTTCAAGATTGGAGTCCAGAAATCCCAGTGAGGAAGGATACTCCCATGATGCCTGTTCATGAGCGTTTAGAGTGTGGATATCTTTTACCTGGGTCTGAATACTGTATTTCTAATATCTCCAAAATGATGCTTTGGGGAGGTGGAGTGCAGATGGTACAAATAGACTTTTTGTATAAATGGCTACATTTTAAGATAAAGTTTTTCAACACAAGTGCCAAAGCATCTGTTCATGTCACTTCTCCAGTTAGTCCAATCTCCTTGGAGGCTGATCCTCATTTATTTGGACTGAACTGAACTGATATACATGTATGTATATATAGACACACACAATAACCTTTACTGAATATTAAATATATAATTCTCCGAAGTCATGGGGAGTCGGTTTGGGAAAAGATTCTTGCTTTAGGGACATTTAATATTCCATGTTTTGAATTAATAGATGGTTTTGAAACAAAATTACTCTAATGAAAGTCACCTTTCTGGTGTTGCTTGATCTCTAGTTGATCTCAAACTTCATCCTAAAATGTAACATTAAAAAACAGAGAAGTTAAGAAGAGTACATATTTTGCCCTGAGCATGCATCATGAAAGAAATATTACTTTTCTCAACAGTCTTCCAATTAAAATAATGACCCTTAATCCTTGTTAATCCCCACCATTTAAAATTCAGGTCAGAGAATAATAAGAAAAGTGTTATTTATACCATTTCTGTGAAAGGAAAATCATGACTATATTTTGAAAAAAATGAGAAACAAAATCTTTATATTAAATGTTATCAGTTGATCATCTCATTCTGAAATAATTACTCTTGTAGCCTAAAGTTTGGGGAATAAGGACACACTTTAAGGCAACTGATTTCTGTTAACTCATAACAGATATTCATAAAACAGATGGACTAATCTTTGAAAACTAGGCAAATGAATTTTGATGCTTTTGCTATTTCCGACACTTCTGATGGTGTCAGTGGATTCATACAAGATGCTAAAGTTGCTTCACATTATGTTTTCACCTGTTTTGCTAATAATTTAAAGAAATTTGTTATATCCTTGCGTTCTATTTCTTTACTAACCTGGATCTTTCATGAAGCATACAAACAGTTTCCCAGCTCTCTGGATTACTTGTAAGTAATTTATTTAAATCATTATTTGCAAGTCATTGATAACCTGAGAATGACTTGCTTCTCAGGATAAGACAACTTTGGAGGAAACAGTTCAAAATTACTCCCTTATATTTTAGTTGTGGGACTATTTCAAAATATAATGACACAAACTTTGATAATGTTTCTGATTTAGCTACATATTTCAAATGCTAGCAAAATATTTGAAAGCTACATGAAAAGCATTATAGTCCGTAATATTAAAGGTATGTGAACAATGTAATGAATCTTAAAAAGTCAAGAGTACAAAATAAGCCTAAGGTATGTTATGGCATTATGAAATTTTCAAGGGAACATCCAAGCATACCACAACATTTAGTATTTGGTTAAAGGTGGGAATTGAGTGCAGCACTTTCACAGCATCATCTCTTAGGACTTAAAAAGCTCGACTAGAATTCCATCACCACCACTAGCTTTACTTGTGTACTCAATATGCCAGCAAATTTGGAAAACTCAACAGTGGCCACAGGACTGGAAAAGGTCAGTTTTCATTCCAATCCCAAAGAAGGCAATGCCAAAGAATGCTCAAACTACTGCACAATTGCACTCATCTCACACACTAATAAAGTAATGCTCAAAATTCTCCAAGCCAGGCTTCAGCAGTACATGAATCGTGAAACACCAGATGTTCAAGCTAGATTTAGAAAAGGCAGAGGAACCAGAGATCAGATTGCCAACATTGACTGGATCATCGAAAAAGCAAGAGTTCCAGAAAAATATCTACTTCTGCTTTATTGACTATGCCAAAGCTTTTGACTGTGTGGACCACAACTAACTGTGGAAAATTCTGAGACATGGGAATACCCGACCACCTGACCTGCCTCTTGAGAAATCTGTATGCAGGTCAGGAAGCAACAGTTAGAATTGGACATGGTTCCAAATAGGGAAAGGAGTAAGTCAAGTGTGTATATTGTCACCCTGCTTATTTAACTTATATGCAACCATCCTAAAGGAAATCAGTTCTGAATATTCATTGGAAGGACTGGTGTTGAAGCTGAAACTCCAATACTTTGGCCACCTGATGCGAAGACTGACTCTTTTGAAAAGACCCTGATACTGGGAAAGATTGAAGGTGGGAGGGGAAGGGGACAACAGAGGATGAGATGGTTGGATGGCATCACCGACTCAATGGACCTGAGTTTGCATAAACTCCAGGAGTTGGTGATGGACAGGGAGGCCTGGTGTGCTGCAGTCCATGGGGTTGCAAAGAGTCAGACATGACTGAGCGACTGAACTGAAATGTAGGAATTCTTCAAATTAAGAAAATTCTATTTATATAAACTATAAAAACAAACAAATCCACCTCAGTTCCAAAATTCTTAGCATTGCTTTTGAATTTAGCTTCATCATATGTACTTAAAATGTGACTAGGAAGCAAGAATATTTACTACACTGCTTCAAAATTTTAGGCAATGAAATTGTAAGAGGTGTGACACAAAGTTAAAACTTATTTTGAGAAATCTGACAGAGAGTGGCCCTCATTTTCAACAACCATTTTGTTAGACCAATACAATTCCTATGAGTTTCCAGAACTCTTGTCAAATACATCTTGGGATATAAAACATAGTTCTATTGTTGTTGAGGTATCTGTTACTTAATCTGTGTGCAAGAATAAATGTACATTGAAGCATGCATCAAAAGCATCACTGATCTATCAGAGCCTACTGGACAGAGGCATATTCTAGAGGTCATAGTTTAGATAGGGGCTCGCAGGCCCAGATGACAGGCTCTTTTCACTCCTCAGACTATTTCCTTCATGCACTATTGTCCTACCAACTTTATGTCTCCAAGATCTTCACCAAGTAGGCTTTTAGAAACATGAAAATTCTAACATTAAGACATTGTTTCACAAAAGCAGCATCTGCTGCGCTCAGGTAAGAATGCACATCATCAGAGGTGCAATTGTGGGTCCCCTCCCCATCTTTCTAAATAAGTCAAGCCTCTCAGGACAGGAAGCAATCATTTCTAAAGCCTCAACCTAAGTAGTTTCAAGTCTGAATTTGGTTCTTCTGTGAAGCCCAGACCTCCCGTGGTTTGGCTCTGGCTGTAAGGAGTAGGGCCCAGGGGACACAGAGGGGCTGGGTTCACACACAAAACTGGGCTGAGGCCTCGGGGGCTCATGGGCTTTGCCCAAGCCAAGCACTCAGGACTGATGTGTAACATAATACGTTTCTCAGAAGCTGTCATACCCACCTTTACAAATGTTGCCCGTTTCTGTCCTTATGCTAAATATACTTAACATGTAGTGTTCTTAAGTACTGAATCTTCTCAAAATAGCTACAAAATTATTCCTCATTAAGTTGGAAAGATTGGTCTCTTGGCTATTTCCCTCCGCAGTAACTATAAAGCCCTGATTTCTCAAAAATACAGGGGGTGGGGGGTGAGTGTGGAAGGAATGTTAACCTCAGTCAGGCTCTTTTCTGAATGTAGGCTGCTGGTCACTACATGACATAAAGAAATCACAACTAAAGCAATGGTAAAGTCAGTAAACAATTTTACTGAAACATTTCATAACACAGAAAATCTGTCTGAAGTGTAAAGTTACTGTCTTACACAAGGAGGACAGACCCATTTTCAAAGACTAATATGAATACAATAAATATGGAGTTTACATACTAATTTATACACAGAAACTCTGCCCCACAGCCATAAAAATTTAATATTTAACAGTGCAACATATAATTTAATCATTGGATTTATTTGACAGGTTTTTCCTTGCTAAACACAAATAACTACCTGGCTTTCATGTACATATATAATATATACTTTATGTATATAGATATTCAACAATCTGTACAGTTTCTAAACATAAAACTCCTAAAAGGCACAATTGTCTATACAACATGTACAAAAATGGCTGGAGCTGACACAAAACAACAATTATTGGTCAAAAGTTCATGATTGCACAAAGATTAGTCATGAGTTTATGTCAGAAAAATGTGCTTTAAGGAAAGGAGGGTTTTCAAAGAAACCTGTAAGTGTTTATATAAAAAAAAAAAAACCCCAAAAAACAACAAAAAACCCCCAAACAAAACCAACCCCCCTGAATAAACAGCCCCTAGGTGGCGATCACGAGCCTGTCCTCATCCTCGTCGCTGCTCACGTCGCTGAACTGGGTGACCGGCCTCCGGGCCGGTGGCCGAGGTCCCTCCGAGTCCAGGGGGAGCCGCGGCCGGCCCGGCGGGGGCGGGGGCGCCGAGGCTGATTTGCAGGGCGCGCCAGGGACGTCGTGCCGGGGCTTCGCTGGGGCCCCCTTCCCCGCGTCCCTAGGACTGCAGCTGTCCCGCCTGGCCTGGTCTCTGGCCGGAGCAGACGGATCTAGACCCTTCTGTGCACTTTCCCGCTGGACTCCGGGTGAGCCCTGCGGGGATGGGGTCCCGCCGCCGGGATGCGCCCCAGCAGAAGGCTGCAGGAGTGGCGCCTCTCGAGGAGACCTGTTTGGGGGAGCGGGCATCTCGGGGGCGCCCTGGGCGTCCACGGGGACCTGGCTCACGGAGGGGATGAGCGTGGGCAGGGCGATGTTCAGGATCTGGAGGCCCGGGATGGGCGTGGGAGGCGCGGGGCTGCTCTGGGAGACGGGGTTGGCGGCCACCACCTGCAGCCCCACGGCGTTGAGGGCCAGGCTTGGTGGGCGCACCTGCGGGCCGAGGTTGGCGCTGGCCAGGCCCACGATGTTGACGGTTTCCATGCTCAGGGCTGGTAGGGGCTGCAGCGTCGGCACGCGGATCTGGCCGATGGGGATACAGGGCACCACGCTGCTCAGCTCGGCCACGCCCGCGGGGCTGGCAGCGCCTGGCACATCCGCGCTCAAGTCCCCAGGGGTGCCCAGCGGTCTGTGGATGACGTTGACAGCCGGGATGGTGAGCTGCACTGGCCCGGCCTGGATGGGGACGAAGGTGGAGTAGGTGAGGCCGGCCGGGACTACCTGGATCCCCCCAACTGGAACCATGTTATAGGGTGTCCTCGACTGCTGCTGGGAATGCAGAGGCAGGTGGCTGAAGAGATGCGTCTGCGGAGAAGGCAGGCCTGCGGGCGGAGGCAGGGCGGCTTGCGGCTTCTGCTCTTGGGGGCCGGGCCGAGGCGAGGTGGACGGAGGAGCCCCTCCCGGCTGCGGGCTGCGCTCAGACGCCGGGGGAGGAGGAAGGCTCAGGCATGGTGGGCCCTGAAAGACAAGACAATCATCTCTTGATGGCTCAGCTTCCTTATTAGTCACCGAGCAAAAGTTTTAGCTCTTGTAAAAAAGTCTCTTCTGTCCTGAGGTAAAAGTGTGTACAACGATTTCATAAAAAGAAGCTTGCTAAATGTTGGTATGTTGATTTAAAAAGCAATATTCCTATTACACCCTTAAGCTCTTTATTTTCTAGAATAAACAACTGCCACAGATTCTGTATAGTACTTAATTTTCAGATTTCCTGGATATCATCTCATTTATACCAACACTAACCCTGAGAGGCGGCCATAATTTTCTTCTTCTTCCACTGCTGTTATTATTGATGGCACCTCCAGTTCCACCCTAGTTTAGGAGTTAGGNCAGAGGTAAGAGAACTGTCCATGAAAGAAAACAGATTTCTCAGGAGCCTGCCAGGGTATGTAAAAGCAGGAAGTCATTCACTGCTCACATGGAGGGTGACTTTCCTGAGGCCTGAGTCTGGTTCTGAGCTAGTTCTTGGGCAAGAAGCTTTCCTAAGTGGTGACAGCAATTTGATGATTCAAGCGAAGTGAACTTCTTAATACCTTTTTTTTCTTTTGGGTGGGGGTGGGGTGGGGGGTGTCAAACTGATAGCTGCCTTGTCAATAGGGATAACATACAAACTGTTTGGATAATTAGTGCAAATCCATCATATTAAAGCCAGTGGAAGATCATCTCAGAGGAAGCCATGGAAAATGGAGGTCCCGAGACTCACAGTCTCCACTGGCACACAAATATTTTTTATTCCAAGATATTCATAAAAAAACCAAATAGCAGTAAATGAGCATACTGCAAAGATCTACTTGGTTCTTTTATAGATTTTTAACACAATAGATGAACTTTGACTAAGATACATAACACGAATCCAAAGGGCATAAATGTTCTTTAGCCTTAAATCAAACAAAAGGAAATAGGTTAAAAAAAAAAACTGATATAGCTACAAATGAGCAATTTCAGTACATTAACTCCTGAAATCAAAAGGAAAACTGCTTCTTCCAATCCATGAACATGGTATATTGGAAGCAACCTAGATGTCCATCAGCAGTCGAATGGATAAGGAAGCTGTGGTACATATACACCATGGAATATTACTCAGCCATTAAAAAGAATTCATTTGAATCAGTTCTAATGAGATGGATGAAACT